GCCGCCACCCCCGCCCAGTCCCAGCCCAGGGCCCCAGGACGCCATAGGAGACTACACCTGGACCAACGGTTCCCAGCCCTGCGTCCGGCTCCAAGCCCGGATTCAGATCGGAGTTGTGTACCCAACCCAGGGCGGAGGAAAGGTAAAGCCAAGAGCCGGCGGAAGACGGCAGGGGCGAGGGAGCGAGGCAGGGCCGGGGTGGAGGGGACAGGGAACCTCGGATGGCACGGCCGTGTTCTTGCAGAACTCTCATTTCAACTTCTACAGGCCTGGGGCATCTCCGTACTGAACCCCAACAAAACCAAGCCCCAGGGGGGCTGTGAGGGCGCCCACCCCCATCTGCTTCTCTCCTTCCCCTTTGGACAGCTCAGCTTCGGGTTCGAGCAGGTACCTCCTCCGCATCCCCCACGCCCTGCCTGCCCTCCTGCCACCAGTCCCTGGCTGCGCTCCCGGCTCCGGGCACGTGGCTGTCCGCTGCCACCCTGAGCCTTCTGGTCACATCCCCAGGAGCCACAGCAGGGCACGGTCTACCTGAACTACCTGGCTCTGGAATACAACGTGTCCTTCCCGCAGGCAGTGCGTGAGTAACCTGCCCTCTCGTCGCTTGCCCTCGATGTCTGGGCTCCTGAAGGGACCAGAGCGGGGGGCGGGGACAGGGACGGAGAGCTGACCCTTCCTCGCTCTTCCAGAGTGGACCTTCTCGGGTCAGAATTCATCCCTTCGAGCTCTCCAAGCCCCCCTGGGCCAGAGCTTCGGCTGCAGAAATGCAAGCGTCCTTCTGGCGCCGGCTTTGCGCCTTGACCTGCTCCACCTGAAGCTACAGGCCGCTCAGCTGCCCCCTTCGGGGGCCTTTGGACCAAGTAAGACCTCTTCCTGCCCCTTCGAAGGCTCCACCTGCTGGGACAGCACTACCCCCCCCCCCCCCCCGCCGCGTCGGGCCCAGAACCTCCCTTCCTCTCTCAGGCTTGTCAACTGTCCTGTTTCCTTCGCAACTCTACCCTTCTCCCCTTTTCCTTACTGCTCCGAGTCTTCTAGCCAATCTCCTACTTCCCAACGCCCCCCACCCCCATGCCTTCCTCCCTCCTCTGGCCTGGGCGCGGCCTCCACCATGATTCCTGCCGGCCCTCCCTCTCTGCCAGGTTTCTCTTGTCCCAGTGACCAATTCAACCTGCTGCCCCTCATCATCGGCTTGGTCTCCCTCGGCCTCCTCACCCTGCTGCTGGTTACATTCTGCATCGTCCGGAGTCGCCCACCCGCCTACCAGCCCCTCTGAGCATCTGTCCCAATACCAGGTGACACCACGGAGCCCTGCGTTCTCACCACTCAACCCACTCAGCACCAAAGTTAGCTTCCCTCTCCGTCTTCAAGCACAACAGTGGAGCTAAGATGTTCATTAAACGTGCCCCGTTTCTCCTCTCCCGGCCCCAGAATACTAAAACCTGCTACAACCTCTGTCCTCGGTTTTCCCTGTCCTTCTGGGCAGGATTAAAAGCCGTGAGTGTCGGTCACATGCCTTTCTGCGCCGTCCGTGGTTGAGTCTCAGGGAGCGAGACCGTCATGTGTGGCCACATGCCCTCGTGGGCTCATCCCCCAAAGCCTAGCACGGCTGGTGTCGCATCTGCCTCGCCCCCCTTCCTCCTCTTCCCGGGCGTCTGGCTGCTCCAGGACCCCCTGCCCTCCAAACCAGTTTCGCAGTCACAGGGGAACAGGCAGCAACGGCCAATGAGTGTGGGTGGGAAGGTGACACCTTCCTGTGGGAGCTCCTCAGCAACAAGAACGCTCCGCTCTGCCCTCCGCGTCCAGGGCCGGGTGAACACGCCGATTAAACCCTCCCCGCACCAGGGACGCTCCTATCCCAGCCGTGGGGACTCTCACCTCCACCCCCAGTCACCCTGGGCTCCCCCAGGAACAGCATGCCTCCAGCCCGGGCCCCTGCCCCGGGGGTGTACCCAGAGGGAGTGCGTGGCCGCCCCAGGGCAGCTGCCCCGCTTTCCAGTAGGCCACGGCGCGATCGCCGGGAAGCCAGATGCGGCCCTTCCAGCCACGGGGGCCCGGTAAGGCGGAGGCCCGCCCCACCGCGTCCCGGACATCCCGTGTGACCTCGCTAACCGGCAGAGAACTGCTGCCCGATGGCGTGGTCCTTGCAGAGGGCGCCGGGCCACCGGGGCGTAAAGGCCAGGCCCGCCGCCACCGGGATGGCTGCAAGCTGGGGTCCCAGCGCGGGGGGCGGAGGGCATCGCTGTCCACGCCGGCCTCTCCCAAGGGGAGCTGCTGGCTCGCCCCGCGGCCGCAGAGGGCGGAGGCGCCGGCGGCGTGGGGGGGAACCCTCGGGCCTGGGGGTTTCCTCGGCCGTTCCCCCGTCCCGGCCCAGCAGCTGCGGGCGCACCCAACCGCCAAGGCCCCGGGCGAGCCGGGGAGGGAGGCACATGGGCCTGCGCGCAGCTCAGCGCCGCCGGAGGGCTGCCTGGTGCAGGCGGTCCTGCTCCCGCCGACGCCCTTCCCTCGGGAGACGCCGAGACAACAGGAGAGAGGGAGCCACGGCGCCCCCACTGAACGCCCTTCCGGAGACTCAGGCTCCTTCTCTCTCAACTTCGAACAATGTGGAGTCGGCCGGGGGCAGACAAGATGGCGCCGCGCAGGAGGAGCGCAGAAAGGCAGGAGGCTCAGTGCGGCCTCCGAACTGGGAGCGTAAACAAAGGCGCGATAGATGGAACTGCGCAGGCGCAGAGCTTTAGCACGCCGTAAAATTCGAACAGGGATGGTGCTTCCGAAACTTGGTCTCTCGCCGAGACCTATTTCACGCTGCTGAAGGTGGGGTGGCGTTAGAAAGAGCGGGGAACAGGGGGGGCGGAGGGCCCAGAGCGCGCATGCGCAGCGCCGGTCAATGGCGGCCCGGAAAGACAGGCGGAAGCTACTTTGGCAACATGGCGGCCGAGGCAGATGGCCCGCTCAAACGGGCGCTGGTGCCGCTTCTCTTACCTGAGGAATGCTACGACCAAATTTTCGTGCATTGGGACTTGCTTCACGGTGAGCTTTATTCGGCATCCTATCAAAGCTCTGCTGGAGCGCCCTCGGGCCATCAGTGGTGCGTGACTGCGGCCCAGGCGGCGCGGCGGCGGCGACCCCTCCCGGGCCGAGCCGGGCGGAAGTCACTCCGGAAGGGGGCGGAAGTGTCTCGGCCTCCATAGAGGGGGGCTCGCCATATTTGGGCGGGAGGCCGGGGAGGGGTCAGCGGGCGGCGGCGGCCCAGCTACTTCTTTGTGGTAGTAAAAGATGGACAGACTTGAAACCGCACAAGACAAAGTTAAAATCTGACCAAATCGTTCCAGTCTTCAGTAGATCAGTCGGTTAGGCGTCTGCCTTCGGCTCGGGTCATGACCCCGGGCCCCTGGGATCGAGCCCCGCATCGGGCTCCCTCCAGAGGCGCCTTCCGCCCTCCACGTTTGCTCGTGGTCTAAGCCTGGGGTGACTTG